TGGTGCCTGGGTTTATTCCTCCCCAGGTGCAGGACCTTGCCCTCACCCTTGTTGAACTTGAGGTTTTTCCTTCCTCCCAGTTGTCCAGTCTGTCCAGATCCCTCTGGATGGTAGCACAGCCCTCTGGGATGTCAGCTACTCCTCCCAAGTTGGTATCATAAGCAAACTTGCTGAGGCAGCACTGTGTCCCTTAATCATTGATGAATAAATTGAACAGGACTGGGCCAAGCACTGACCCCTGGGGGACACCGCTAACTACAGGCCTCCATCTAGACTCTGTGCCACTGATCACCACCCTCTGAGCTCTGCCATCCAGCCAATTCTCAATGCACCTCACCATCCACTCATCTAATCCACACTTCCAGAGCTTGCCTAGGAGGATGTTGTGAGGGGCAGTGTCAAAAGCCTTGATGAAGTCGAGATTGACGACATCCACCGCTTTCCCCTCATCTACTCAGCCAGTCATTCCATCATAGAAGGCCATCAGGTTGGTTAAGCAGGATTTCCCCTTGGTGAATCCATGTTGGCTACTCCTGAGCACCTTCTTGTTCTCCACATGCTTAGAGACAACAGCCAGGATGAGCTGCTCCATCACATTTCCAGGAATGGAGGGGAGGCTGACTGGGCTGTAGTTACCTGAGTCCTCCTTCTTGTCATTTTTGAAGACTGATCGTGAGAGAATTGCTTGGAGAAGAAGTCGGGACTTGGATAAAAAGAGCCTAACAAAAGTTCTAGCATTGCAGAGCTTGCTTGAGATAAGAGACAGTCAATAAGAGTGAATGGAGGGTGGAGTGTAGTGAAGGCACCACGGCCAAATTCTATTGCACTCCCTGCAGATGTGGCAGCCGCATGGTGCCACACAGCTGGTGGGCCACATAGTGTGATGCCTGATGCTGAGACAAGAATGGTGGCAGATCAGTTCCATCTGATAAGCTTTGCTCAGGTTTCTTCTGCTTCTAAACCCATTATAATATCAATACATGACCACTCCTCACTGAGCATGCTCTCAAGATTTTCAATTAACTCGGGAGACTTTTTTTTAAAAAAACAATGAATATCAAAAGTACGTATGACTAGAGTCACTCAAGCTCCACCTGAAGGTAAAAGAAAAAGGAAAGAAGAAGGAGGGTAAGAACTAGGAAGGAGGAAGGAAGAGGAGAGAGGGAAGACTCCATTGTAACTTCTGGATCAGTCAATAGGCTGAACGCCTTTCCTCCTCTTGGGTCAGGACACTGCCTGAGGAGACTTCTCAAGATTGAGAGCCCTCTCCCATCTTCTGGGTGAGTGATGACTGCGCATTTGTACAACAGGCACTACCTAGGAACCCCACACTGTAGTAGAGTATCTCCTATACTGACTTCCTAAACCCGTTTTCTAAATGTTGCATTTGAAAGTGCTATTCGTGAACCCAACCACTTGTCTTGAAGCCAATCGGACCCGTGGTCAGCAGACCGTGGGTGAATCCGATACTCCAGAATCAAACTAATAGTTGATCACACTATTGGGGAACTTGGCTTGCTCATAGGAAAGTGATCAGATGACCAGTTTGCAGACTGTGGGTGAATCCAACACTGCCAGAGTTGGGTGCATAGCTAGCACAGTATTTGGTATCCCTATTAAGAGGTGGGTCCAGCTGCCCCCAGTCCTTCTAATCTTTGAGGATTGGCTGGAATGCAAGGGGATTCATCTCTCACCAAATTTGCCCTCTCCATCAAACCGCAGCACTGGTGTGACACTGGCTTGTCTCCAGTCCTCTGGCACCTACCCCATTCTCCAGGACTTTTTGAAGATGATGAAGAGTGACTTAGCAATATCATCCACCAGCTCACACAGCGCTCAGAGGTGCATCCCATCAGGGCCCATGGATTTGTGGGTATCAGGTTTACCAAAGTGTTCTCTAGCCCAATCTTCCTTTACCCAGGGCAAGTCTTCCTCCCTCCAGGCTTCTTCTCTTGTCTGTAGGGTCTGGGATTCTACAGGGCTACCCTTGGTAAACAGTGAAGCAAAGAAAGCATTCAGTAACTCTGCTTTTTCTGTGTCTTTCATAACTAGGGCACCCACTCCATTCACCAGGAGACCATTTTCCCTTATCTTCCTTTTGCCACTGATATATTTGAAGAAGTTCTTGTTGTCTTTTAATATCCCTTGTCAAATTTAGTTTCAAATGAGCCTTAGCCTTCCCTGTCGCATCCCCGCATTACCTGACCACATTCCTATATTCCTCCCAAGGGGCCTATCCTTTTTTCCACATTCTGTATACTGCCGCCTTCTGTCTGAATTTTGCCAGCAGCTCCTTTCTCATCCATGCAGGCCTCCTGCCCTCTCCACCTCCCCCACAGCCTTACTTCTTACATGTTGCAGATAGTTAGGGAACGGCGGCCGGAAGATATCGTGCTGTACGGAAAGATAGGGCCCCTAATAGCCAATAGTGTTTAGTCTATGGTGTAAGCAGACGGATGTGACGTTGTAAACCTAGCTATATAACACCTTGTTACCCATCAATAAAGGCCATTTGCCGTCCACC